GGGGGGGGAGAGGGGGAACAACCGTATGCACTGGGCTGTAGCCTGTCACTGGGGGAGCAGCTTTTAATCCAGTTACAGAGGAAATGGCAGGATATGGAGTATAGAGAGCCTGGCTTGGACTTAACCTAGAAAAGCTGAGAGCAGCTGCAGAGGGAACACTGGACCTGACCTAAGACAGGAGTCTTGTAACTCATGATGTTAAAATCCTTCCATCTCTGAGGCGAGGTGGGGACAGGGGTGCATCTGTAACACCCATGGCCCAGCCTTGCAAATCTGCTCACAGAGCAGTTCCTTTAATAAAGGAACCCCTCCCCCAACGTGTCATTCTGAAGGGAGGAGGAGGAGGGAAAGAGAACAATAGACATCTTCTATGCCAATTCTGTTTTCTGGCCTGGGAGGGCTGCCTTGCACCACCATTACAATCATTGCTCTTAGTGAAACACATTTGAACCAGATGTCAGCAACCTACTTTGGCTGAGAGCCACCCCTCCAGTCCAAGTACCGGACTGCTCTCTCCTACTTTTGAGAGTGCTGTAGCCCACTCATCCTGCAGTGAAGAGAGAGATGCTCGAGCTGAGACAGCACTGATGCTAATGGCAAGAGATGCAGACATGCACACAACTGTGCATGCTGCTTAAAGGGAGCTTCTCCCATGGAACAGTGATGTCTTAATGCTCCTCAGCCATCACTGCTGGCTCCTTAAGACAGCATTAGCATAAACTGCTGAGTGCGGGCTCACTTGCCTTAAGGGGCCAAGTAGCATTAACTGGGTGAGATTCTCTCCTGTTGAAGCAAGAAGTTGCCAGCTAAAAGCAATGGATAGAATGTGAGTATTTCCTTTCAGTTGGCCTGATAAGCTACTCTTCTCCCACATAGCCCTCCCAGAGCATCTGTTAGGAGATTTCTGCTGGAATCTGGAGCATCTGCCAGTCGCTTACATATATAGCCTGATTATAGGACTCTGCTGTGGAGCTGAACTCCCACCATGAACAAGGGAAGGCACATTGCACTGACGTTGCAATATGCTTGGATGGTTTTAATGCAACTCCTTTGCTCCAGAGCAGAAGGGGGCACCAGTAGTGCTGTAGGGATCACTCTTTCATGCCAGGGATGGGGGAATTGTGGTCTCTGGCCACACTCACCCAGCTCTTTCCAACCAGGGGAGCAGCGCTGGCTTTCTCCTGAGCTGCAAGGCTTTGGAGGGATAGGGAGTCGAGAAGAATAGTCTCTTCCCAGTGCCACAGAGATTAGGGGATTTATTCAGAAGTGCATTCTGCTGTCCTCCAATGAGAGCTGCTCTATGAATGTGAAGTGGTCTTAGTGCTTACACTGGGAAACCAAGGCACAGAGAGGCAGTGACTGCTTGTAGTGGGCCAGTAAGGGGTGCTTCTGCACTGAGCCACCCACCTTACTGCACCCATACACCTACCAAGCTCTGAGTGTCTGCCCTGGGGCGCCTCTAACTGGCCGACCCCCTTCCTGGAGCACTTGCAAGTCTGGAGTAACCGCCTCATTACCCGGGGCTTGGTTATTGCCCAGGCCCTGTGCTCCCTAAGGTGCACAGGCCTTGTAGACCTTGAGGGCACTTGACCCCCTGCAAGATCTTGGAGTGCTTCCTTTAACCTGAAGCACAGAAAGTAGCCTCCCTTAGTCATTCGAGCCAAGGGAATGCAAAGGCTTGTCCATTCCCTCTCAAGCATGTACCACAATGCTTGTTATAGTGGATAGCTTTATTGGGTAGAGAGGGTAGGCTTGGGGAGGGGTACAAGTCAGAGAAGCATCAAAAGAATACCCTGAGCAAACAGAACTGGCCTGATAGCCATTTAATACACTTCTAAATTACTATAAGCTACCTTTCTAGTTAAGTTTCTGGTAATTTACTCGCTTCAGCGTTCCAGAAGTGGGTGAGGATTGCAGAGGTTCAGTGTGTTGTGTAAAAGTCCCAACATGGCTCTCCTTGTCCCTGGAGAGCCTCTCACTTTAAATAGCCCTATCTGACCTTGCCTGCTAGCTCCAATCAAGGCCAGGTGTTTTATGCTAACCAACCAATTTGAAAAGCATCACACCTTGACCTAGACTCAAGCCCCTGCCCCCAGGTCATGAGGTCAGAGCTCAAGCCATAGGGAGGTCAGATTCCCTCCCTCAGTACCTGTGGTCAGCCACGAATGCAGTAACTCAGGGCATCGAGATTGACAGACAGGTGAGAGGACAAAGAGAAATGAAAAAGGAAAAAAACAAAAAAGAGTAGGCTGGAATGGAGTTCTTTCACACGCCCATGTCCGGAGGGAGTGGGCTGGAGCTGGGATTAGAGCACGGGTGTGCTGGTACCCTGTCCAGTGCTGAATCCCGTTTAGATCACACCTATAACAACTGATGACTCAATGCATGAGGCAAATGTGGAGCTCCAGCTAGCTGGACAATGTGACCAATCAGGCTTTAAGTTGCTCTAGTCCAGAATTAGAAGGTTCTTCATGTCTGTATTGCAGCAGTGCCCTCTGGAGGTTCAGATGTGCAGCCTCATGACAGTCTTGCTCCTCTGTACTTTTTATGGCATTTTGGCATGGCTGCTTCTATGGGATTACAGCCACCTCCTACCTCTTGGTGCCAAGGCCAAGTTCGGAGGACAGGCCTGCAGTTGGGTAAGAGTTGCACCTGGCAAGAGTTCCTTTCCAAGCAAGAGTTCCTTTCACTTTGCTGCCACATAGTGGCACCCATAGGGAAATGAATTTGGACTTTGGACAAATTAGTACAGGGCTGAGATGATGAAAAAGATCGAGATCCCAAGGAGCTTCATGGAGAGAGCCATTTAATTCCTAAATTAATACAGTTTAAGGCCAGAAAAGACCATCTAGAGACCTCTGGCCTTTCCACTTCACAGTGTCATAGGTTGAACTTGGGTGCTTTTCTTGGAGAAGCCCTTTGATTTGAACACTCGGAGATAACGAATCCACCACTCCCAAAGTAGCCTGTTCCAGTAGTTAAAACCCTTGCTGTTAGACATGCATATCTTCATTTTTTATTTGAATTTGTCTGGCTTCAGAACAAGCACTGATGATTGGAAGCTGCTTTTCTCTGCTTGTTGAGAGTCCTTTTGGCACATACTTCTCCATAAAGTACTTGTGCTGTAATGGAGTCTCCTCAAGCATTTTTTGATAAGCTAAGCAGAACTGAGTTCTTTAAGTCTTGCTCTGTAGGAGCAATCTAACGTCTGTCTGCACGCTACATTCTAGTATCTTTCTCCCTAGACACAGCAGTAAAAGCAGCTCCAATTTGTTACATCCAACAACAACCTCCCATTTGTACATCCAAGGATCGATCACGGCAACCCCTTTTTGCCACATCATCATACTGAAAACTCAGGTTGAGTTAGCTTCAGAGTTCCTGCTTTCCTAGATTCTGTCCTGTATTCTATAGGCATGATCTGCTTTCATGTTGTATTAAAATGCATCCAGATTGCTCCTGCCCTTCTTATTTACCACCCTGCTGCTGATTTTTGTTATCCACAGATTTTCTCTGTAGTGACTTTCATTTTTACTTTCAAATCTTTGATGAAAATGTTGAATAGCATCAGGCCTAGTAACCCTCCCTGTGGATCTGCACTAGAAATGCTTCCGTTCCATGTGGATTCCCTATTGACTCTGTTCTTTAAGAATTGTGAGCCAGTTCTCAATCTGTTTAATATGTGCTCCCAGTTATACTCGATTTATTTTCAATCAAAATATTGCATGGTACTTAGTCAAATGTCTTACAGATAGCTTTCTACTTCTGTGACTCCCTCTTGTTGCCCAGGATTGACATCATACTAACTGACTTATAGTATTTTCAGGTCATCCCAGCTGCCTGTTTTGAAAATAGGGACAATATTAGCTCATGTGTGATCTTCTGGAATCTCCTCATTGTTTCAAGATTTATTACAAGTTCATATGAGCAGGCCTGAGATCTCTTGGGGAAAAGTTATCCAGGCCTGCTGATTCTTCTTTAAAATATTTCTCTTTAGTAGATTTTATTTTTTTTTTAAATTTTCTTCTTCATTTCAAATGGACTGAAAAGTACTCCCTCATCCTTGCTTCATGATATAAGTACATCATCCTGCTGCTTTCTAAACGAGTAACACAAATATTTATTGAAGTCTTTTAAAAATCTTTTTCTTTTCCTGCATTATTAACAATTTTACCATTTCTGTCTAGTAATGGGCCTGTACCACTTCTAGGGTTTCTTTTGAATTATATTTCTAAGTTATTGCAGGACTGGAGAAGTTCTGTTTAATTGAGGTGCATCTCAAAATGCAAGTCAAGATGTGTGCTCTGTCCTCCACTGAAAATTCAAGAATGACCCAAGGCAGTAGGGATTTCTAAATATCGCTGCATGAATGTTTAGTGATTGGCGAGCAGAGTGGTTTTTCCCTCGTTCTCAAGGTAGTTCAAGTGGCAATATGACTTGTCCTCACTGAGGAATATTGGGAGCTAGGAACTCTGTTCGCCTGGGTGGAAAAAATGGTTTTTCTCCCCCATAATTGCTGCTTCATTATTGCTTGTGCTACTTCTGAAGCATCTAGTGCTGGATACTCTAAAACAGGATACTGATTTGGATAGCTCCCTGGCTTAGCAGTTTCCGTGTGCCCATAACATGTCACACTTTAGCAGCTAGAATCGCTACCTAAAATTGCAGCCACATTTTGCCAATCAAACTCTTTCTAAACACCTAATGCAAAACAGTCCTTGCCCCCAGGACCTTATAGCTGAAATAGTCGAGAAGAAGGCTGGGATGGGAATGAGGTGAAGAACTCAAGTGACTTGTCCCAGATCACCCAGCAGCTCAGTGGCAGAGATAATAGAAGTCGGCTCTCCAGAGTCTGTCTAGCACTGTCTGCTTCTTCTGTGTGATTAACTGCTGCATGCTTGGAAGGATGTATTTGAATAACTGAGCTATAATATGTTTGTGCATCTCTGGATGTTAGTCAAGTTTCTTGCCTGGAACACGGCTGTTGTAACACTGTGAAGTATCACAGCTGAAATTCAGAAGTGTTGGGCACCCAGAACTCCAGCTGAAACTTAAGGGCGGCAGCAGTCATTTAGAACCCCTTACTCTGAATCAGTGGATGCAACTTTGTTCCTTTTTAGGAAGTACATCAATCTTCATCTCCCTGGTTGCAAAGTTTAGTTTTTTCCTTTTAAAGTTTTTCCCCATGTTTTTTAAAGAGGTATGGTCAGAATGTAAAAACCTTTGTTAATGTAATGCCAGGTCTGGAAACTGAGCGCACAGTGAGGGACTACAAGATTCCTGGCATTAATAATTACTCATCTCTGGTTGCGCAGATGTTTCTTATTGATAAACAGGTTTTCAGTTTCTGTCTCTTTCACTAATTAGCTTGTTCTGTGCAAGTGACAAGGAAATCATGAAATGCTGCCTTTCTAAGTCCCAACTCTCTCTGCAGAATGAACCAGGCCCCAACGGTAGGTTTTGAAGCAGATGTCGGGAGCAGGACCACCCACCACTTCATGTACCCAGAGAGTGCCAAGAACTTGCCTGCTAATGTGAGCTTTGTGCTAGTGCCCTTCAAAACCTTGGACTTGCTGTGGATTGCTAGTGCCCTGTCAACTGGACAGATCAGATTGTAAGTACCCAATTGGACAGTCATGCTGGTGGGTGAAAGAAGCCTTCCTTCTGAAAGGCAGTTGACTACCACATCCATGGCACTGTGTACCCAGCTCTGCATCATGTGGGTCAGAAGGCAAAAGTGGCATTGTCTATGGGATTCGCAGCTTTTCACCCCAATGCCACTGGCAGGGAAGCAGTGAACAAATGTCCTCTTTAGTGGCTGTTCATTTGCTTCTGTTAAGGACATGATCCTGTTCCACTGAAATGCAATGGGGAACATTGCCAGTGGCTTCCTTAGATAAAAGATTGAGACTTAAATGAGTGTGTTTCATTCCAGTACTCCCTAGTGTTCTGAGACCTCAAATGAGCTCCCCTGGAAGCTGCTGCTCAGGGTCAGAAAGGGGACTTTTGGTAAGAGAACAGAATTACAAAGCAAGCTTCCCTCTGCTGCCCTCATTGTCCTCTCCCCTTTTCATAGCTCCATGTGTGAAACAGGGTACTTTATTCCTTAGGGTTGTTGGGCTGGTTGCACTCTGCAGCACTGAACTGCCTTGGAAGGCATAGGAGCAGACTGCAGGGAGCCACAGCCTGATGGAGCCTAATTAAAGCATCTACATTTTGTTCCTGAGGTTGACATGCAGCCATGCCCCAGGCACAGTGTGGCTTTTTAAAGAAGTGTTTCATGTTCCAAGCCAAATCAGCTAAATCAAGTCCAAATCCACGAGTCAGTTCAGAACCATAAGTGGCCCTACAACTGGCAAACATCATCCACCCCCACCAGGGGCTTCAGATATTTCCAAAGTCTTCTGGCGGGCATCCTACGGGCAGGCCCAAGCCCGGAGGCTTGGGGTTCAGATGCCCTCAAGTTTCACCTGCCCTCAGCCATATGGCTGCAGGAACAAGCTAAGGAGGAGCCTCCCATTTCCATAAAATGAGCATTAAGCCCCAGCATCTCAGCAGGTACTAAACCAGTCCAGAAGAACAGTTATCCCTGAGAGAGCTTAAGGACAACTGCCTTCTTGGAACCAGATACGTGGTTTTTCCCCTGCCAGGCATAGTGTGGCTGGCTGGCCAAAGCCAGTACACCCAACAGGTGCTTGGATACTTTTCCAGAAGCAACCATGAAACTGAAAATGGAAGTATGTAGTCCAGTGTGGGTGAGGAGAGGAGGGGATGGAAGGGAATGACCCATGTCTCTTGCTGCTGGGAGCCTTGCTATGACACTCTGCGGAATCTTGTTCCACTGATGGGTCTCTTGTCTCCACCTCAAGCTTGTTTGTAAAGTCCTTGTTAAGGCTGGAGCTTGCAGCTGAAGGCACTGTGTGTAATTGGAGTCTCTTGTCTACCTGCAAGTGTGCTCTCAGGCTGGTGATTGGCTCACTCTTAAACCTTAGTGACTGGGGACTAGCCCTATCAGTTAGAGGGCAGGGATTGTTTACAGCAAAGATGTCCTTGGGCTGCCCTTCAGGGTGTAGGTAGGATGCTGTGAGGTGTTCAAGTGTTCCGATGGGCACAGTTAAACTACACAAGCCTCCTTTTGAACATTTCTCACAAAGCAAGACTAAAAGGCAAAGTGAATGGAAAGTAACTTTAGGAAGGAGCAACAGGAAATGCTTGATGTCTCTCTGTCACCAGCTGCCAAAGAGGGTAAGGATACCTGCCCTCTGTCCAGCACCCAGAGATCTCTGCTCGGAGTCTGAAGTAGCTTCTCATTCTCTGGTGAGGTTCAGTTGCTTACTGTGCAGTGTCTGTCAAACCTGGAGGTTGCAATACAGTGTGATCGCTCTGTGTTGGGAGATAAGGGCTGGCTGCTCTCATGCTCTGTGGCAGAGGCTGGTCAGCATGAAGGGTCAGGAAGAGGTTTGTTTTTCTGTCTCTGGGATCTCCCTGTTTTACAGCAGGAATTGGTACCATCTGCATCAGCATGATCCATCTGCCATGTAGTGGATAGGCTGCACATTGGCCAGACCTCTCCCTTGCCATAGTATGAAAGGGGGTTATGAGAGGGCTGGTACCTGCCTCCTAAGGCCTGACTTGGGGGGATACATTAGCAGGTGCTGGGTCTTCTGAAGTTCATAGGAATATTCATTGCTTGGGCTACTTTGTGAATCTGGACCCAAGTGACTGACTTCCCCATTTAATACTGCTCTACTTTGAATGCACCCTCTCATCATAACCCCTTGTGTGGGCTCAGGGAGCACTGAGGACACAGGAAATAATTTGCCTTTTTGCTGTTTCAGCACATATGCACCTGTGAAGCCTTTCCTTCGGGTGGACAAAGAAAAGGTAAGGCTGGTGCTGGGCCCCCTTGGCATACACTGTCCTGACTGTTTTGCAGGGAGGGGGAGGGAGGATGATCCAGAACACCTGTTCACTTTCTTCTTTGCCCAAGAAATCCATCCTCCTTGTCTTCTCAAGAACATTTCCTTAAAGTCTGCTTGTGGCCGTTCTCCGTGGAGAACTTGGCTAGCCCATCTAGTCAGGCTTGGAACACAGCCCAACCACCTTTATGACTTTGCCTCTAATGTGAAAAAGGCCAAGCAGGTTCCTGAGGTAGTTAGATTTCAGCAGAAGTTGCTGCACTTCACAACAAGGGTACTACACATTTTCCTGACTCATAGTTCATTTGAGTTTCATGGATCACTTTTTCCCAAAGACTGCATCATTTTATGTCATCTCACAGCTGATCTTGCATTCAGCACTGTCTCTTAGAGAAGGATTGAGTGGGATTTGGCTGGTTTTAGTAGAGTGTGCCAACAAACTGCAGGAGCCAAGAAAATGTTAGACTGACTTGGCAAGGCATGTGAAAGTATGCGGTTTCTTGGTACCTGGACAGTGTGGTGAAGCAGCTAATGTGCTTGTCGTGTAGATGAGTTATGGCAGTCCTTTTCAGCTTGTATACACATGTTCATTCATGAACAATTTGGGCCTGTGCTTCTCATCCTTTTTCCGTTTTTAGGAGAATTTCTATAATCTGAACTCTAAAGTTTGACTTCCTTGTAGGTGCAGATCTACAATCCGGCTTTCTTCAAATACATCCATGACCGATGGACAGAGCACCATGGTCGATACCCATCCACAGGGATGCTAGTGCTATTTTTTGCTCTTCATGTTTGCGATGAGGTAAGGGTTTGAAGGGGTTGATGATGCCATTGGCATGGAGCATGGGAGTTGGTTTCCTATGTGAAATCCAACCCCCTGCTGCCTTCATCTTCAAAAGGAAAAGTATCTAGTCCTGGCCATCAGGTTCTTAGCACAGTGGCTGAAATCTGCCACAGTTCCCAGTGGTGACCTGTTTCCCAGCTGCAGGTTGCTGTCTTTCTTTGTATCCACTCTTTGCTAAAGTGGCCTCCTAAAACTAATCCCAAGTCATTCATTGGCTTAGCAGGATTCCCTCCAGTTGAAGGGCATGTATTTCCTGTGAGAGTCCTGGTATCCCCCATTCCCTCAAGCTTTGTGTAGCATCATAATGGCTTCTGCTTTTCAGTTTGGACTTGGGCAGCTCAATCTGTGCTGATGGGATGTCTTAGAAATGTCTTGAATGGATGTGCCTTGTAATGCCTGAGCTGCAGATAGTCAGCTCAGGAAACCTTTCTTTGTATCTGTTGTACATTATGTTAGTGGGGGGTGGAATGTAGGCTTTCCCAGTCTACCATCAGCCATTGATCCAGTATCCCGTGTTCTTCAGTGGCTTATGCCTGCTACTTTAGAGGAAGACAGAAAATGCTATAATGCACCTTCTTGTGCTTTTCCACAATGGGCTTCATGCCCAGGATCATGGTTTCCCAGTCCACCTTGCAGTAAGTACCACTAATGTTACTGGTATCCCTCTTTCTCTTGCTACAGGTGAATGTCTTTGGATTTGGTGCAGACAGCCGAGGTGACTGGCACCACTACTGGGAGAACAATCGTTATGCTGGAGAGTTCCGGAAAACCAGGGTGCATGATGCTGACTTTGAAGCTCACATCATTGACATGCTGGCAAAGACCAGCAAGATTGAAGTTTATCGTGGCAACTGATGTGCCAGAAGACTCTGTGCTTCAGCTGTTATTTCAGAATCAGGTTTCAAGAAATGGGATGACTGTCATGGCCTCCTGCCCTAAGGATGGGTGGGCAAATCTTGCTGTGACAGATCCCGGATCAATCAAGATGAGCTATTGGGTTCATTCTGTGGTCCCTCATGACCACTTGTGATGGTTTGGCTAAACAGAATACTTGGTTCCTTCAACGAATCAGGTTTGGAGAGACAAGGAGACTCTCTTTTTTTTCTTTAAAAACAAAGCATCCTGTTTGGGATAAAAAGGATTCACAAGCAAAAATCTGTTGCGGATTTAAGTCGTATGCTTCTGACCCAATCTCCTTGCGGTCAAGCCAAATGCTGCTCTTTTTAAAAATAATTAAGTCAGAAGAAAGCCCTAACAATCACATTCCCAGGCCCAGGGAGAAGCCGCATGTTTGGACCATTCTCCTGTGCAACGGCAGTCTTCTGGGAGCTTCAGCACTGACTCGCCGTATAGAACAGGGTGGGATTTTTGCCCAATCTCCCACATTCTAAGCTCTAACTAGAACAGTTTGGAACAAGCTTGGGGCATCTGGGCAATTTTCTTCCTTTCTTTCCCTTTGATAATGGCAATCGTTCTCCTGGAGGAGGTTTCCTGCATTGTTATTATAATTATCATTATTAGTATTATTTTTTGTACAATCAGGTTCAAAACGCTGAACAGACTGTTGGTTATTGTGTGTGGTCACAATCATTTTGACTCAAAAGGTCTAACTTGGCAAAGGACGGGGTGGGGGAAGGGCTCAGTTTTTGGGTGGGTGCTGTACCCAAACTGTTAGGTATGAGCCTGCTGAGGAGACTTCTCACCAAGTTGAAGATTTTAGAGCTTGTGGAAATATTCAAAGGAAAGCCCCTGTCACAGCAGTGAGGCAGGATCAGGCTGCTCAGGGAACTGGGTTGGGTGTAGACTGGAAGTCTGAAATTGGCCAGTGTTTAGAGCTACCTGGGAGCTATTCCTAGGGGATAGGAGGAAAGGAAGGGAAATCTCAGGTGAAGCCTGGTGTCCTTCTTTCCTTTCATCCTTGTTCTAGGATTAACTAGTTGTGTGGTGGACTGAGGAGGAAACCATGCCAAAGGCAGAACCTGTGGCCTAGACACCTTGTCCCCCATTCTACTAATTTCCAGCTGAGCTTTAGAGCGGGTAGGGAGAATTCCCTTCATACACCAGTTACCTCTTCCTAATCTTAATCCACAAGGCACCTTTTTTTTAAACTCTTTTCCTCCACCAGCATCCCCTGGCACCTCCTCCACTTGAAAGCCCATTGCGTCTCCCAGAAGAGAATGTCCTCACAACAAGGGGTCCAGGTGAAAATATACTGGTTTCTTGCAAGGTTGTGATGAAAGTGGAGATGGTGGCAGCCCATTGCTTGTGGTTGGCTAAGGTGCCACTTCACTGTGTTCACTGTAAATAGCAAGGCTTACCATCACAAAAACACTAATATCTAAGCTGTATTGCAGTCTGGCAAGCTCCATCTATAGGAAAGGGACTGTCCCAATGAGCTAATTTAGTTACAGCTGATTATAGACAGAGGCTCTTCTCTCTTTAGATGGCTGCTTCTCAATAGTGTTGCTTATTGGCCCCTGCAGGGACAGTCGTAACAGCTAGCAAGCGTTGTCTGGTGGGCTTGCAAAGAAAGGCGCTGGGGAGAGGCGGTGTGGGGGAGAATGTTCCAGGGAAATCCCCATCAGACACCGTACAAACTGTACAAGGCAGCGTGCACTGTCAGCCAGAACAGTCTCAGCTGCAGTGGTGGCATGTGGGGAAAAATGTTGGATTTCATTTTAAATTTGGGATGAAGGAACAATTCAAAATAACCTTGAAGTGAAATATGGCTATTGGTTTTCAAGTGTATCTTCCAGCCAAAAGCCTGAAGTCCTCCCTCCATTTATATTCATGAGAGAACTGCAGGGTTTGGCTCATGAATATATATGTTTTTGGTCAGGGCATGGAGTTAAAGGGTAGTGGGAAAGGCTTCTATGTAATAACCACTGAAAGGAGTACCTGATGCATACTGGTTTTACTGGCTGCCTTTGACAAAGCAGAAACTCTTTGTAGACCTTTGACTCTTTGCAAACCCTGAAGGATGTCATGCCCTTTCCCCGTATCCTTTTTTTGCTCAAATTGGGTCCTACTGCTGGAATAGAGCCCAGGCTGAGTCATCCAAGCCAAGTTCATGCATGGCTCTGGGAACCATTGTTTCTTTTGCCTGCGTTTGGCCTTAAGTGTGCAGGTATTCAGGTGAGAGCAGCTCCCCTGAAGGCAGGATGCAAGTAGAGAAATTGGAGGTGGCTTCCCTGTGAGCTGGGCTGTGTTCTATTAGGGAATAAATCCCAGAGCCAGACAGGGTGTGTGTAAAGGGATGTATGAGTTTGGGAGATCAAAGGAGAATGCCTGCCTCTTTCTTAGCCAGTTGGTGCTGGAAGGACTGAAAGCATACAATCATGCCAAACAGTATTGAATGGAATAACTTATTATTCCTGCTTGTATCTTAGGACACGTCTATGCTAGTGGCTGTAAAGAAGAAGGATCCCAGTCTGACATACCCATGGTGACCAAAGCCCCTAGCGTAGAAGCAGTTATAGTGGCAAAACTGAACTTTCACCAAGGCAGCTCATTTCACATGTGGTTGATCATTTATTTAACTTAGTACAAAGGTCAGTTTTGCCAGGTTAGCTGTATCCATTCTTAGGAGTGCAGCATGGCGTTGTATACCAATATTGCTGCAGTAGTGAAGGGCTCATGGAGTAGACAGCCATAGCTGAAATGTGTGATACTGGGAGAAAAGGGGCCCAGTAGTGGCTCAGATCTCCTTGTTGCAATAGCTATTTAAACATTGATAGTGTTTTTTTTTTTCTCCTTTTGTATCTGTGACTCCTGTATAGCAGTCACTCCTAGGTTTGTTTTTGTTTTGACTTTTTTCTTTCTGCAGTGGTGAAACTCAAGTCTTAGGACCTGCTACAGCAGCCAAGTGATGGCTCCTGTTGTTGGGTCTACAGGGCTCTAAATAAGTAGGCTGGATGAAGGTCTGAGACCTTAAATCTAAAAGTTCTGCTTGTGATATCGTGTAGCCGCTTTGGATAGTCCAGGCAAAACAGCAACTCCTCCATTGTAGTGCCCCACCGGGGCTTGTAATGATAACTTGGAAACCAAAAATCAGCAGGTCATTCTATGAATTGCATGCTGGAGTTTTGACAGGACAGTGAAACCTGAATTCTTTCCTCACCCCTTTCTTCCTGGGAGACAGAGGAAGGAGGAGGGATTTATTTCAAGCCCTGGTTTCAACTCTGTTTTTAGAAGAAATAAAAAATTAAAAACTTAGCAACAAAGAGTGCCTTGAATCATCTACCGTCTGTTAAACTGGATGCCACTTGCTCCCCGCGTTGTCTGCGAGCACAGTTTGTTAATGTTGCCTGTTTTCACCAGTGGTCTCAGCTGCTTCCTTCATTACTTCCATGCTTCTGTGTTTATGACAGATTGGAGCTTGATGCTGGGGTTAGCTGAAAAATGGTTATTATAATGGGGAAGGCAGAGAGGTTGCCAGCTGCTTCCTTTCATGGAGATGCTGCTGACATTCCAACCTCTTCCTGCTCTCCGTGGTGGGCAATGTCAAGTAAGGAGAGAGAGCTGCACTTGGTTAAAATCTCCAGTTGATGGTTTTGGTAAAAGTGATCTGGCTCCTGTCAAGTGGAAGAAGGAGGTACTGGCTTGACAACTGAGTGACAGGAGCTGTCCCACCAAACATAGGATCTCTCCAGGCTTCTGGTGCTCTGACTTCCTGCAGAGCATGCTCCGGGCAAAATTCTGCTTTGCTCTAGGATGTCTCAGGGGTATGGAGGCAGCCTTTTTAAAGTGACTGATTTATGAAATGGCATCTTTGCCCTGTGTGATAGCCTGGATCCCACTAAGATGTCAGTTTTGTGTCCAGGAGAAACCAACAAACATGGTTTGCGACCTAAAGAACATGACTTACAAGGAAAAGATGGAAGTACTGAGATGATTTAGTCTGGAGAAGAGAAGACCAAGGAGGGATCTGAAGACTCTGCAGATATATGAAGGGTGGTTATAAAGAGGATGGCGCTAGATGGTTCTCTGTCCACAGCGGGCAGGGCAAGATTAAATGTTCTTAAATAGCAACAGGGCACATTTTAGGTTAGATATAAGGAAGAATTTTTGAACTCTGAGGGTGACCAAGCAGTGTGACAAATTACCTGGAGAGGCTTTGGAAACTCCATCGCTGGAACTTTTTAAACTGCAGGTTAGGCAAACCTTTATCTGGGATAGTTTAACTGGAAGTTATCTTGCCTTGAGCGGGGGGTTGGATTAGCTGACCTCCATCCTTCCAGCCCTGTTTCCCTACAATTCTGCATTTTGCCCTGCACAACTAAATCTGTTCTGTGGTAGGTGCCTGGAAGCAATTGAGCATGACCAGGGAGTTTGTAATGCCAATGGTGCTCCTTTCCAAGTCAGTTTCACCAAGATGCACATAAATACAGTGCAGAATCCCGAGGCTGTAGATGACCAAACATTCTGACTGGGGACTGGTTTTGGAGTTCATGGTGATGATGGTACCTGCCACAACTGCCCTATACTTTAGTGTTTAGAGCACTCTGATATATGAGAGATGGGCACAAACCGGAGATGAGGAAGTTTTGGATCTCAAGTCTCCCATGTCCTGGGCAAAAATCCTAACCACTAGGGTATATGAGAAGAGTCTTTATACTGAGGTCAGTGCAGTTGTCTGCAGACAGGTTTCCCTGCTCAGGTCATGAGTGCTGCTAAGATGGCTATGTCTTATGCCAGGGGTTTTCAATGGAGTGGGTGGTACTTGAGATCGCCTCAAGGGGTAATTGGCAACAGGTGGCACTTCTGCTGCTGTACTTTTGCCACCATATGGTTGTCGATCAGCTGCGGGGAACATCATTCCCCCTCAATCGACTGGCTGCTGGAGGAGCCTAACCCCCACAGCTGGTCTGGCTGCGGGGGGACTCCTGCCTTCTCGACTGGCCACCAGGGGGTACACCGACCCAAAAAGGTTGAAAACCCTGGTCTTATGTAGTCAACATAAAGGAGAATCCCACCACATATATTAATGAGATAAATCATCTCCTGGCCAATGGAAGGTCCAACTCTGGAAGTGTTTAAGTGCTTCCTAGTGAAGGGCAAGGCAGAGCTATGCAGTTCTGCAGGGCAAAGTAGAATGCTCCTCTGGAAGCCCCGAGCTCCCCAGTGAGACTTCAGGAGAACCACACATATACGCTGGGGAAGTAGAAGACCCCTGTTCGGGACTTGGCTGGCAGCTGTCTCAGACATCTAGTGGGCCAAGTAGAATTGTGCCCTCCCTCCCCACTGCTTGGTGTGTGCTCCCCAGCCAGAGCAGGCTGTCAAAACTTTCCTTTTTCAGCTAGTTCCTCTCTCTTTTTGCAAACAGTCTCTAGCACATTGTGTCACAAGGATTTGCTAACACTTGTGTCTCCTTGGCAGACTGGCCAATGGATGCCTGCGTTGGCATGCTGTGAGCAAGCCCCATGGAAACAGGACTGTGGGGTGCAGTGTCTACAAGTACCACTGTACTGGCCATGGAGGAAACAGGAGGCAGAAGCAGAGGCAGTGGGCAAGGTGTGCTATCTCCTTCCATCGGGCAACACAGACAAATTTGGCTTGGAGTTGATGGGGACTGCCCCAGTTCATTATTGGCATTCTCCACCCCCACACAACCTTTCATAAGTAGAGTCCATGTTGCACAGCTGTTGCTGCAGTCTGGTTGGTCTGTGGTGGTTCTGTCCCAATGACTTTTGGAAGAAAAGGATGGTTCCAGTTCTGCAAAGATGACTGGTCTCTCCTTAACTGCATGGAGGTGAGCAGGACCACGCAGTGCAGCAGGATCCTTCATGAGCATCTCTGCTGAATTGGAACCCAGCTTGTCACAAGCTGCTGAAGTGGAGAGTTTCTTTGTGGTGCTTCCATAAGTCCTTGGGATCCTACTGAACTTATGGTCATTTACCAAATGCCTTGGAAGGGACTCCTGGCCCAGCTTTTGTCTGCTGATCTAACATCTGTGTGCCAGCCTTTCCCATTGCGTCTGTGCTTTGCTATCTCTGTACACGATGGCTGTCTTAATCCAATTTTACATTGGTTAATTTAAACATGCATCAGAGATGTTGTATTACTTCCTTTCGTTGTCAGGTCCCTGCTGGTGCTATGCCTTCTTCTCCCCTCCTCCTTCCTGCTCTTTGGTTATTATGTGCACTTTTATTGTATTTGGGTTTCTGGGTTTTAGTTTGTCTTGGTTTTTTTCCTTTCACGTGTTACAGTGGGGTTTATTTTATGCTTTACTGTACACAATAAAATCTGTAACTGTTCCTCCTCCTCCTGGCACGTGCCCCTCCAGCCTCTCATATTGAATAGAATCTTCGTTAAAGATCAGCTGCTGGTGGCCATCACTGCTGTGGAAGAAAGAAAAAATGATTGTATTGGCCAAAAAGCTATTGTTCCTCCAACCAACTTTCTCACTATGGGTCAAGGATCCCTGACTTGCCTTATTTTGTGCTAAGTGTTAAACAAATTGCTACCTATTCCACTTACCAGTAATACTTGCAAGGTTTGCTGAGAGGCTCCTACACTGTCCTGTAACATATGTCATAATCCCAGCTTGATCAGTTACTTGGATCCCCATAATGGAAACAGTCTATTTTCAAAACATCTCGACTCTATGGGGTGATCAAGTAGATCCCCATATTTATGAACTTGAGCGTTACAGTCCTATTGAAATGTTGGTTGCGCACTTGTTTGTTTGAGTGCGTTTAGTAGCACAGTTCCTTCATAGAATAGAGGTGGGGATAGAGCATGAAAAAGATTGTTTCTGCTCATGATACAGATCAGAAGTGACTCCAGTCTAAAAGTGCCTTGGTTGCATTGGGAAGTAGCCTCTAGTCGAACCCCAGGGACCTGTGCTGGGAGGGTGCACTAATAGTCAAACAGTCACTCATGACCACTGTGGCAAGTCCAGCATTAAGGAAATGTGTTCTGAGATTCAATGACAGTGAGGAGGTGAGATGGGGAGAATTTTCTGTACTCTGCCCTGCAGGTGCTGTGCATGAGGCTTGTGCTTTCCACTGCTCCACATCCTGGCCTCTGTTCTCTAGCCAGGAGGGTTTGGGGGGGAGGTGAAGGCTGTGGCTTCCCTCCCCAGCCTCCTGCTTTCCTGGGTGGAGGATGGGAAAAGGGAGGCCTAGCACTAAACATGGCAAGAGCATAAAGTATAGGGAGACATAACCTGTTACAGCACCCATAGTGTTTATAGGTAAGGTAGGAGAAGTTACCTCCTTATCTATTGAAAGTCCTTTATGCAGCTCTTCTTGGCTACAGCATTCTCCGAATGCATGTTGAGGGGCAGGCAGGGATTACTGCTGGTCTGGTCTGGGTCGGGTGACCACCTTCCCTAATTGGGCCAGACAGTTCCAGAATGGGGACATCAAGTCCCAATCCCAAGCTGCATGACTGGGACAGCATTTGTCCTGGATTCATAGTATCCTGCAGGGATCTGTGTTTGGGAAGCGGTGGGTTTCCTTTTGCAGGCTGTATGAGGCTACTGGGAGTGGGATGCAGGGGGTGCCATGTGCATGTGTGCTCCTGCTCACATGCACATAGCTGGGAATACAGCCAGGTAGCATGGAGAGAAGCTTCCTGCAGGTAAGTCTGTGGGGGGGAAAGGGAACATAGGGAACAGATTGAGGCCCTCATGGTGAGGGA